GAAAATTTTACTTTCGTGAAAATTTTAACTCACGATAACGACTAACGGGAGCCCTGAGTTTGTTTCTCTGCAACGATACAGTTCCATCTGGGAGTGATGGGAGACAATGACACCCGAAGTGTAGCTTATATCCACAGCCTGCTTGGAACTTGGCGAAGCAGTTTGAAGGCTTCATTGCCTCATTAGCAGCATGTTACACAGAGCGGGCTTATAATGTGTAACTATTATAATTTAACTATTACAACTATTATAATTATCCATTCTGCTGTCCCTTCTTTGGGCCTTTTCCCCTTTGCAAAGAAACTTTCCAAAAACATCTGATCCATTTCTTACTCATTTTGCTGCTTGTGGGCTCAGTGTTGGCACGCAAGTAACCCAGAGAATCCGATTAAAGGATTTTCAAAATAAAAGATCCTCCAGACTCAAATAATACATAAAACTGAAATATTTAATTATTTCTTGCGCAGCCAGGTACCAATTGGTCCACGGACCAGTACCGGTCCGCGGCCCGGAGGTTGAGGACCACTGTTTTAAGGGACGGGTGGCAAGCGGGGCGACTAATGCGCGTCGCCCCGCTCATGAAACTAGGACGACGCGCATTAGTGTGCGTCCCTTATTTTGATTTCTGAAAGGTGGCAACCCTAGACGGTGGCAACCTTAAGTTATATTCCTACTCGACTGTGCATGTAGAATAAATCCCCAGAGCAGCAGTGCAGTAACAAAGTGCTAGTTTTATTAAGGTTCATAAACAGTGGATATTAGTACAGCCTGAGTATTTAGCAACCCGTCATCACTTACTTCAGAACTGCACCTTTCAAAATTCTGCACAGATATATAACAGATAAAACAAGTACAACAAAAGTAGAAACAAAAGATTCTGCATGCTTCAGTGTCACCTCACACATTTCCATCCATTAAATCATATTTTCAACTATTTTTTATTGAATTCTGACTTTAAAAAGTAAAATTAAAAATAAATTAATAAATGAATATTGCAACAATTATGCTTCCCCTACCTTTCTGTTGAAACCTTAACTGTTTTCTAGCTTATTCATTTGACATTACAGGTCAGTGATAGTGGTACATTATATGAATGGATTAATCATTATTTATGCATTATGCATTATTTATGCATAATGCATTAATCAACATTAGAACATAATGTATCAAAGAACATAATGAATCATCATCAAAAACACAGCAAAGAAAACATTTCAGGCAAGTTTCAGTGCCTCCCCCTAAATATATATACCAGTAAGTAGAAAAGGTTGTAAGACATAAAAGTTGGGCAATGCAACGGGATCAGAGCTTTTTTTTTTCTTGTTGAGATGCAATAAAATATATCTTATTTTATTGTTTACACATCCATATAAGGCTTCAACAGAAGAAAGAGTGTGCAATTTGTAAATTAGTTTATTCCAATTTCAATAAGTGCTGGAGCTCACTTAAAAAATGGCTAAGCAAAATATTTTAACCTCATAATTTAACTGTCCAATGGTACTAATTTTAAAATGTCATCACATTTTCTGTTGCAAAAGCAGCAAAATAAAAGCAAAACAAAAGTGTAAAAAGCCCAATGCCAGCTGCTCCCAGTGGAATACGACACTTGATAAATTTTTTCACAGATTTCTCAGAATTTACACAAATCTTGCTCTATGTGTCTACAAGTATACACAGTGACAATAGTGTGGTTTAGGTCAGATAAAATGACTGTCATCATTCTAAGTACAGAGGGAATTGTTGGGTCAGTCTCTGGCAATTGGAAGAGGTTTTTAAATGTCTTAAAAAAAACAAAATCGGGCCGTCATGTGGTGCAGTGTAACCACTGGAGGCCACAGAAATCCACACTGCCGTCCCGAGTGTGACTCGTGTCCTCGGTTTCCTTGCTGCAATGTCTCTCCCCCCTTCACTATTGAATAAAAACCAGTAGTCCAAAAAACATTTTTAAAAAGAAAGCAGAATTAAATGTAAGCTGTGGTGTAAGGCAAACTTTCCCAGCACAGCATTTTAGGAAACACAAACTACCAACTCTGGCAGACTGTCTGGGACAACTGAATTGCAGCGACTTGAAATTTTGACTGGATACAAAGTTAGCTAAAGTCTGTGTTCTATTTATATATTATTATGAGTTATGCACATCTTCATATGAACATAAACTACACTATTCACAAAGAAGAATAGTTTACATTTGTCTGGATAAAAAGAAGGTCAGCAACAAGATGGGTACCTATGGAACGGTTCAGTTTAGATGCAACTTGGTTCACAGTGACCAAGTACTGATGGGCTTGTTCAGGTTTAGATTTTAAAACTTGCAGGTCTAATAATGAGATCACAGCATTCACACTGCTCACTTTGTAACATTTTTGGAACTGTTTCGATTCGTGTCTGTCACACTGGAGTTCTAGTTCTAGACCAGGGACTAGTTAACTACCAAAGACCTGGTTATCTTCATTTTACCATGACAGATTTTGCTGGTGATAGAGTAAACCCATCTCATTGTGTCTTTGAGGCCTCCTCTATGTCTAATGTTATGGAAGATCTTATAGTTTATTAATCCAAGCCAAAGCGATAATCTATGGATTCCTAAATGAGTTGGTGTTCCACATTAGAGCCAAAGGTCTTAAACTATTCATTCCCATCGTCATGAGTCTCAAACTCGCCCAGGACTCAAACTTTTGTCACAGAACTTCTTCAGTTCCTGACCTACCTGGACCTACATTGTGTACCTGGAAATGTACTGTGATAGGGAGGAATTAGATTAGATGAGAGATGGACTAAAGTCTAAAGACTGTAGAGGTTCACATAAATAGAACTTGTGTGCTTTAAAAATATTTTTTATCAAATCAGTTTAAACTCTGTACTGCCAAATTACATCAGTGTGAAAACATGTTTAATATGAATGCATTTTAAGAATGGCTGAGTTATTTATTAATTTTTTAATAGTTTGTTAATTGGTAGTTTTTTTCCTTTTAACCTTTTTATCATGAATGTCCTCATGATCTTGATAAGACCCAAAATGGAAATAAGTTTGACACTCCTGAATTAGGATAATTGAATTGATCAACTTTCACTTATTCAGCTGTGATCCACAGGTCTACAACTCTGAAAATATAATATACTGTCCAAAAAATTATTTTAGTTCTGAATGTGAAGCACAAATAGGGAACATCTTGTAATTTCTGTTTGCTGTGAGATTTAAAATGTCTTCCTTTTTCAGAGAACTTTCTCATTTATTGGCACTTTACCTTTCCTCTGCAGAGAAATAGCCTGCATTCTCCAGAGAGTATTAAAATAAACTTTCTTTGAAAGAACAAATACTAACAAGGGTATTCTGATTGTCTCTCATGTGATGAGATATCAATACTGCCAGTTTTTCTTTTCTTTTTATTCTTTTATTTCAGGCCCTTAGAACCTTTCTTGCTGTTTTCAGTGACTGTTAGCTGCTCCAGCAACTGTAGGTTACTCAGCTGCTGTAGTTCAGATGTTGTCACTGATGCCCTCTGATTGGCCTCTTGTGGACATGCCAGCTGAGTAGCCAATATTTTGCTTATCTGAATATGTATCTGATTCTGTCTAAAATTAGGTGATGGTGAAAAGATTTTATGTCATATGTTATACTTTACAGCGCTGGTTTCTGATTTGGGTGATGTGGTCCAACCTCTCCACCCTGGGCCTACAATTGTTTAAAAACAGTTTACAATGATAATTACATCTGGGTTAGCTAATTAAAGGGAAATGCACAGTGACTGAACCACAGTGCATCTTGTCAATCCATGCCTGTCAGTTTGGCCCTTCATCTCCAGTAAGAACAGTTTAGAGATAGAGAATAATGTTATCACAAATTATGATTCTCAAGCAATGCGCCTTCAAAAATCTACTTTTTCTTCCAAAAAACACTTAACTATGTTAAAATGGATTCTCCTTGGTAATAACCCTACCCTACTGCATAAGTTTTATGGAGATCTTTTCAAAATGTAGATTACAGTGAGTGAATATCTTCTATGTGATTTGGACCAATTTACATTTTACAACTCAGAGTAGTATGAAATATATAAATTGCCAAAATTGTTTGCATAAATCTCTGAATTCAGGTGTTCCAATTACTTCCATTCTCATATGTAAATAAAGTTCATCACAAAAGCATACTGTGTCTACAAACATGAAAAAGTGGGTCACCTCATGGATTCCACTGTGTTACTGTCAAAGGGCAGCTCCTGTGTAATAAGGTCCATCTGAATTTTTGTCACTAAATATTCTGATGTCAACTGTCACTAATATTAGAACAAAATGGAAGTTACTGGGAACCTATGAAGCCATAGATCAGATAAAATCAGAGTTGGGTCAGCAGATATACTGCAGAGAATTCTCCAACTTTCTATAAAGTCAATATCTATGGATATCCAAATTTCGTGCAACCTTTAGATTTACTCAAGAACAGTGATTATAAGACTTCATGGAATAAGTGACCATATTGTCAACAGCTATGCAAAACATCTGTCAAAAATAGGTGAGACAATTACTTAATTCCATGCATAGACTGTCACTTTATTGAATAAATAAAAGTGGGAAGTAAAAATCATGGATTAGCATTGTTTACTCTTACAGAGGTGTGCAACTATGATTTTGATTACAAATAATTAATAATTTCTGTTTCTTTTAAGAGGCTGCATTAAATTAAACTGTGACTATGATGATTATCACTTAAGATATAAATGGCCCCTTTGTTGTTAAGGGACAATATGCAATCATTAGAGAAATAATTGCATATTTATTCCTTATATCCAAAATTATTGGATTGTGGATGAAAGAAGTTGTGATTTTGACAATGATCTTGAAAACAGAATAGCATATGTGTGTATGATTACTATCAAAGAGATGAGTGAATGACCATGTGGTGCTGAATCAGCAGGTCTCGATAGGAATGGAACCAAACAAAGTGAACAGGTTAGGTGCCATCTACTTCACTAAGTCAAGGAAGAAAACTTAAAATGTGGACTCTGTCCAATAAATCTACAAGTGGTTTTTCCAGAAGATCCAGCCAGACAGGGACATCCAAGACACTCAGTCTCCTTTTAGAATCCTACAATTTCACCATTAGGGAAAGACAGATTAAGTTTAATTATTATTTTATTTTAATTTTTAATCTATGAATATTCTCTGTCGCTAAACGATGAACTTGAGGAAACCCTCCAAGAGGAGTTGCAGCAGTTACTGCTACAAAGGGTTAGCCAAAATTATGTCATAGATGAAAATGGGGTGTCACTCCAATTTCATGTGTGTGAAAAGGGAGAAAAGCAAATAATTCTGACAATATAGTGTATTTAAACAGAAAACAAAATCAACCAAACAATGATATTCAACTAATCAAAAACAATGAAAATAACGAAGAAATGTAAACTTCTGTGGCAAGAAAAATCTCAGCAATGAAAATGACAGATATTTGCAATTTGAACAGTTTTTCTTGCAGGTCTTCTTTTTCTACTACATATAAAATATGCAACAATGATTGTAGAATGGTAAGTTTACTACCTCTTCATTTCAAAGACTCCTGATGTCTTTAGGTTTGTTAAAGCATCAAAATGATATTAATCAGACATGATGTATAAAACAAGCATTCTCTAGAATGCCAAGTCCACATGACTGAGAGGACACAAACAAAAATAAGCATACAAATATCTGAACCAAAAATGATCTAATGCCAGGTTTGAAACCCAGTAACCCCACACACCATGTCTGAGGCAGTAAGTTACTGAGGCACAGTTTCATTACTCAGAGAAACATGGAAGCAAAAACTAGGGGATGAATGCAGGAGTCTGCAGTCAGTCACCATCAGAGACAAGATGACTGTGGTACATGTTGGAGTCATAGTCTCTATTATTGCATATATTACATTGGTTTGTCCTGGAGCTCCAGTACATAGTGATTTAGAAGTGTGTCCATTAATCTTGAGCCTTTGGACATTTGCATGCTGCTTTGCAACAGTTCAAAACACTTGATATGATGATGAGTGACAAGTTGGAGAGCGACGGCAGTCTGACATAAAGCAGTCATCTGTGGAAGACTAGAACATGACAGTTCCTATTCAAACAGCAGAACCAGAGCAGCTCAAAGCTGCAGGATCCCTCAGCAGGTTGGTGGGTTTCTGAAATCCCCCAATGACATCTTGTGATCGGACCATAAGCAGTCATTGGCAAACTGTGGAGCACATGCTTATTGGACGATGTGATCCCCCAAGTTTCCATAAAAGGTCTCAGAAGCCCTTTAGTTGGAAATGATAGGTGATTTAATGACATCATGGTCTTTTAAAAGTGCTTAGAGGAGGACTGTCGTGGAGGACAACTGTCCTTAATGATGCCATTTTTTCAAAGATGAAGTCTTCTCCAGCTGATATTTCCAGTTACAGTGAACTTAGATATCCAGAATGAAAAGCTGCATGTCCAGATATAGAGCTTCCTGCATGATGCCAGTTCTTTGTAGGATCAGAAGCTAAATAGTTTGTTTTTGTTGATTTTGTAATCATCCACTGAAATGAACTGTAACGGGTGATATAATAAAAGCCTTTTATTGTATGAATGTTTTTTCCTGTTAAAATACACAGCTATGAGGATGTGTGTGTGTGTGAACCAGAAGACACATTTTTGAAAGAATTCAAATTTGAGAGCAGAAAAAAAATAAGATCAGAAATTCTGATAGACAGCATTGAATATTGAGTTTTGTTTTAACTGTGAGGGGAGAATTTTTAGTGAGAACTGTACAATGTATCAGAGAAAATAAGAATTCATTCTCCTAAATGAAAACTGGTACTCTTGCGTTTTGACAAATGAACCTCCACATAGAAGGATTTGGCCATGATGTCATCCTTCCAGAGATGTTGGAAGGGTGACATCATGAAGATTGTTCCAAAATGTACCAATTTCTTGGTACACTCACAAGACCTAAAACACAAATGTGATTGTTCACTGAGAGCAGAACCAGAGAATCTAACCTAAAGGTATGTTAGAATATTCCCAGATTTATTTTAGGTTAAATTTTTGTCTATATCTGATTAGCTTTTTAAGATAAATTCATCTTTCCATAGTTTAAATAGCAACAAATCTCTGTTTGGAAAGATCTAAATAAACTCATGGCATTTTAAATGGCTGCATAATTCTAATTACACTGTTGAGTGGATTATTCCTGTTATGTAACAGTACTGAAATAAAATGAACACTGATTCAGGTGTTCTTTTTATATAAAAATCTGAAGCGCTGCATATATGTTGGTCCAAAATATTGCTAAGGCAGAGTCAAGGTTCAACTTTTCCTTCTCAGATTCTATTTGCCAATTCATTTTCAACAATAAACCGCATGAGGTTTTCTCTTGATCCAAGAACTTAGCTATAATTCATTTAAAATGTTAGAGTTCATCAGTTTGTGTTTAAAGGAGCAATATGTTACTAGCGTGTTCACAATTCTGTAGTTTCTTAAGTTTTTAGTTTTTGCTAAGTAAAATCTGATGATCTGAAATGTAGCTATGAACAGCAATCTT